GATACAGATCTACTAACAGACAATGACCTCTAACGCATGTCAGTAAATTTTAAAAAATTGCACCTTGTACAAAGTGTGCCCACTAACGGGACAGTCCAATCGGTACCCTTCCGGACGAGCCCACAGGTCTGTGAATGCAGAGAAAGAGGCCTGAAGGAGGCACCTCCCAAAGCTCATCGCCGGCCAGATGGCCATGCGGACGGAGGTCAGGGGGTGAGGGGGTGTGGCGGGGAGCGAGTGCACAGCTGACCCTGCACGGCCGGGGCCGGGGTCGCTTACACACAGGTTTTCTTCAATTGTAAACAGATGGTGTAAACTTACGGTATCAATGAATGTATTTACTGTGAATGTATTTTCTGTTCCTAATGATTGTTAACAGCCTTTTCTCTAGCTTACTTTATTGTGAGAATACAGTATATAATACAGATAACATAGAAAATGTATTAATAACGAGGCTTTTATATCACCGTGAGGCTTCAGTAAGCAGTAGGTGATTCATAGTTAAATTTTGGGGGAGTCAAACTTAACGTGCAGGTTTTTGACCCCTTCCCCCCCGCCCCCCGCCGTGTTAAGGTTCACATGTAATTAGTTTGGAAAGAGAATTTTCAAATTTTCAGTACTGTTTGAATTTTCAACAAGGAAAATGTTTTCACATACGATTTTTATGTATGTGTGGCTTGGGCACAGGAGCCGGTCCCCGGAGCTGCCACCCGCAGGCGCGCATGCGGGGCAGGAGGAAGTGGCGGCGCGGTGGCGGCGCGTGGGAGCCCGGAGCCTCTGCCTGCGGTTGGTGCATAGGGACGGGAGAGGTGTCACACTGCGGCTGTGTCGTCCACGTGGTGGGGTAATGGCAGTTTTTGGTAGGTTTTTAAGTGAGTTAGGCTGATACATCCGTGCAAGCCAAATGGCTGGATGGAAACCTCAGCTGCAGACCTACATTCCCGTGGACACAAAGCCAGATGCTGCGTTGCAGTTACTCATGAGGATTTCCCCCCTTGTGCTCAGATCACGGTTGTCAAGCAGAGGAGGCCGTGACCAGTTTGCATTTTAAAAATGAAGAAAAGGTACACAAAGCTTAAGGTTTGATACCTTTGCCTGGGGTAACAGATCACATTATAGATTCTGATAAAATCGATACCGTATATAGAAAGGAGTATTAACACCTGCCTGCCGCATTGGGTATATTCTGGGTAGCCCAGATAGCAGCTCAGGTAGGCTGAGCGGTTTCTGTGATTTAATTCTGCGTGAGAAATGGATGTCCCCTGCCACGTGTCATGCTGTGGTGTGGCCCCCGGTGTGATGTTCTGGCGCGGCCTGTTGAACATCCCCCTGCTGAACAGCAGGCCACACGGGGGGCCCTGTGGTGGGGAGCACACTCTCTGTGAGGGGAAGCGGGACTCTTTCAAACTGAAGCTCTAAAAATTGAGTTCTCAGTAGCAATACAGGGGTAAAAAAAATGAAGGTGAAGGAAGAGATGATGATTGCAAATGCTTTTGAAACTGAGCTCCCGCTACAGAGGTTTACAGGATGTTGTTCCTTATCTGTTGTGCCTGGTGTTAGGCTCATTCTGGTTTCCATTTCAGGGCCGTTTAGTTGTTCTTTGATCAATGAATGCAACCCTTTATTTTCCACTGATTCAACTTTATTTTGGGGAGGTGGTAACAAAGAAAGACTTCACGTAAATGCTGTGGTATGGTGTACTATAAAAACCTCACAGCTATTTGAAGAAATATGCACCTAAATTAAGGAATGCTTTTAGTAGTTGACTTTAAAAGGTAACAACTTACAGTAATGATTCTATTGCTTTAAGTAACCAGACCGTTTTTCCTTAGAGCAAAGCAAACAGATAACAGTAAGGCATTTCAGTCTGTATTGTTTCAAGTTTTCCGGAAAGGAGTACGCGGTATTGCCTTACTGCCTCAGCTTTTCCCTGGCGTGCGTGTTCTGAGGGCCTGCGGGAGCGGAGAGACGGAGTGACGAAGAGGCGTCAGGAGCAGACGGGTTGCGGGGTCAAACTGTTCCTCTAAGAGGCAGAATTGCCTTTGGTGTTTTCTGCCCCTTTATTCCCGCTAAACCCACGGGCTGGGGAAACACCCGTGACAGGCATGTCACTCCCAGGCAAAATGAAATTAGCTTGGCAGGATTCATTTCAGATCAACGCGGTTTTCAGGGATCTTTAAAATAAATGTAAGAAATTATAGAGACCCTGACTTTAATCTTTCGATCAAAGTTTTGCATGAAACAATATAAATGCGCCCAGTCTGTAAACTTGTAAATGTTTCCAGAAAGTGCCTTTTCTTGAAAATACTAGAACATTTGGGTGTTATGAAGAGGTGCATAATTAGTGATTTGTGGTCTCAAACACTGTTTCTCCCAACAGAGAATCTCCTTAAGAATCAATTCTGAGAAGTGAGTAGTGCCTTAAAAATGCCACAAATGGAGACTCACGAAACCAGCTAATAAGTGTGGCTCACTTGTGTTGCATCTTTGTTACATACTGGACACTGATTAGCTGTTACATTACCTCCTTTATTTTTACAACAACCCTGGAAAGATGGTATAATTGTTATCTCCTTTTCTCAGGGAGGGAAACCAAAGATTAGAAATGTTAACACCTCGTTGTAGTAAGGCCAGGCTTCTTTGTTAGGAGACCTGCTTGTGGGCTCCAAGCTCCTGACTGCCACACTGTACCCTCTGCTGATCCTCAAGGCATCAGTGAGCGCTGGTCTGAAATCAGCCCGGGGGTGAGCTGGACCCGGCTCCCCTGCACTCCCAAGAGCCAACTGTTACAGGTTTGGACACTTTGAAAATAGCAATCATTGGTGTATTTATACCACAGACATGGGCAAATGCCACAAATCAAGGCCGTTGTTTTTAGAGAATTGGTTGACTTCACAGAATTTGGTAATGAATGAAATAAATAGATCCATAACAATTTTTTCCCCAGGAGCATTTGTCTTGATCTGACAAATTATAATTAGTGTAGTTAGAACTGAGAAAATTAAATTCAAAGGAATTTATTCTAAATTTCATTATAGAAGAGAGTCCCTTTCCTGCCTTCCACTCATTTATCTGAGGATTTTGGAAGGAAAGCCCTTCTCAGTCTGGCTGACTGAGCTGGCTGCGGAGCGTAGATGCAGCGGGTGTGCCTGGGTTTGAGGGGCTCCTTTCATGAGACCGTCCGAGGAGAGATGGAGAGAGATCGGGCTGGGAGCCCAGAAGATGTGGTGGAAGGACACGGGAGTCCAGAGGAGGGAAGTTCATTCAAAGCAAAACAACACAACACAACACTAAACAGAACTTGGGCTCCAGGAAGGTGTGTAGGGGGTGAGGAAGCTTAGTAGCCTGATTATAAGCTTCTTTCATCCATAATTTTTATTTTAATATTGGAACCCTGGTACTTAATCTTCCCTGGAAACTGTAAAGCATCATTTTTTGCAGATAAGAATCATTCTAATGGCAGTGTTTCAGTTGAATACATACATAAACATTACAAATTATCATTTTGATGCATTGAATCAGGTTCTCAAATTTATCCTCCTAATGCTTTTTTTATGAAGACACACTCTTGCTTGAATTTTGTGTTTAGCATATTTATAACGTTCTTCTACTATTCAAATATGCCTTTGAGCATCTTCCCTACTCAGTTGGTTGCTTACTAGGTCCCGCTTATCCAAAGCCAAAGCAGATACAAGGACTGATGTATTTGATCCCCATGGACTGAGTTCTCTCTAACTTGCCAGTTAATTCTCATCTGGTCTCCTTCACTCCTTGGTACTTACCTTTTGGGATTTTCAGCATTTGTGGAGTTACTGATGGGAGTGGAGATTTAAGGGATGGAAAGGTAAGGGAAGAAGAGGGAATGGGGAAGTAAAGCAACACAAACATACAGAACAGAAGCCAAATGACCACATCCCAAGTTTGAGGCCAAATGTATCTCACTTGAGTGAAGCGAAGTAATTTTTACCTTTGTGGATAGGAAAAGCCCGTGTAAATGAGTATTTTATATCAATTCAATTTTATATTTAACTTCAACATTAATTTGGGGCAAGCACTTTTCTGTCCTTTTTCATATTTTATCAGCTGACTGGTTCAAAGGTGAGAAATGAATGCTTGAGAGGTAGAGAAATGTGGTTACTTAATCCTGGCTTGAAAAATTCCGTAATTGTGACTTTGGAAAAGTAACCTACCTTCTCTGTTTTCTTGTCCCCACAATGAGGATGATAATCCTTACCGTGGGTGACCGTAGGGGTTATTGCTAAAGCTCTGAGTGCAGTGTCTACCAGATTAGCCCTAAAACAGCAGCTTATTGTTATGCATAAATTAAAAATGGATCACGTGTGAGCAGTATAGACAATGTATATGGGATGATTTGGGAGCTCATATTAGAGAATTTGCAAGTACTCTTTATATGAAAGAAACTGAAATATCGTAAGATAAATTGGGTCTGGATGCTTGATGATGATGGTGATGGTGATGAAGATGGTGGTGGTGGTGATGGTGGTGTTGAGGGTGTCAGTGATGGTGGTGGTGATTGTGGTGGTGATGATGTTGATAATGGTTTGATGGTGATGATGGTAATGGGTGTGGTATTGGGGATGGTGTTGATGATGGTGACAGTGTTCTTGTTGGGGGTGTTGGGGATGGTGGTGATGGTGGTGGTGGTGGTGATGGTGTTGGTGATGGTGGTGACAGCGTTCTTGTTGGGGGTGTTGGGGATGGTGGTGATGGTGGTGGTATTGGTGATGGTGTTGGTGATGGTGGTGACAGTGTTCTTGTTGGGGGTGTTGGGGATGGTGGTGATGGTGGTGGTGATGGTGGTGACAGTGTTCTTGTTGGGGGTGCTGGGGATGGCGGGGATGGTGGTGGTGATGGTGGTGACAGTGTTCTTGTTGGGGGTGCTGGGGATGGCGGTGATGGTGGTGGCGGTTGTGATGATGGCGATGGTGGTGTTGGTGATGATGGTGATGATGATGGTGGCTTTCCCTCTTTCCACACAGAATGTCCCCCCCGACCTCTCCATCTGCACCTTTGTGCTGGAACAGTCTCTCTCCGTCCGAGCCCTGCAGGAGATGCTGGCGAACACGGTGGAGAAGTCAGAAGGGGCAAGTACTTAATTTATGTACTTATTTGTGAAGTATTTTAAAGAACTCTGCTACTCTATGAATGATTTATTTCACAGATATTGAAGATTTTCTTTTTGCTGAAATAAGTCTTGCCTTTTACTTGTGATTCTCTTGAGTCTGACTTTCTGCTTGATATAGCAGACCTGTGATGTCTTAAAGAGCTTTGATTAAAAATCTAACCTCAAGGGGATCCATGTCATTTATCTGCATTCTTATTTTCTTTAGTGTAAAACAGTGTTATTCTTTGAGCTTTTGTGCATTGCTTATATCTTCAGACCTGTGATTGTTACTATCTTAACTAACTGCTTTAGGCATGGCTATTTGTATTTAATCTTTATTTCATTCTCGAAAGCTTCTAACCATGTAACATGTTCTAATCTTCTTTATGGCATCTAAAATTTCAGGGCTCTCATATGTTTTATTTTATTTTTATTTTGTTAAGTATTTATCGTTTGATTTTTTTATAGAGAGAGAGGGGACAGAGAGACAGACAGACAGACAGGCAGGCAGGCATTGGTTTGTTGTTCCACGTATTTATGCATTCATTGGTTGAGTCTTGTATGTGCCCTGACCATGGATTGAACCCACAGCCCTGGTGCATCGGGACGATGCTCTAACCAGCTGAGCTACCTGGTCAGGGCCTGGCAGTCATATATTTTAAGTAATGAAATTATGATGATACAGCTTTAGTCTACTGTAATTTTCCAAACAGCTCATTATTTTCTTCTGCAAATTGAAATTCTTATTCTGTGTCTTAGTGCAGACAAAGTTCTTTGAAAGATAATTTAGTAACTTAAACTATTTCCCATGCTGTGGCTTGCTATGACTAATTTCTGGGTTACTACTCATTCTTAGCTGATTCTTTAAAGTTTAAAATTAAGCAGAAGGATGAATGGTCAGACTTTTGTTTCCTTTTCTTTTTTCGGGGGGGAAGCTATAGTTACTGCAGGGTATGGTTTAATAAATTATACTATTTCCAGGCATGAAACTGAACTTTTTTTATTTGCTATGATTGGTCTGTGTGTTGCTGTTGTTGTTAATCATTGTTCAGATGTTGATAAGTGAAGAGATTTAAAAATACTAGCACACTTTACATCACAAAACGAGCGATTATGACGTAATGTATTTTCTCTAGTCTTCTACGTAAAAAAAATTTTATTGTCATACAGCTTAGGACTTTAATTGATTTGTGGATTAATTCTAAACTAATTTAAAAATTTTATAGTATACTACTTATTATGGAAGAGAAATCTTAGTGATTTCCATTTAATATGAGACTAAAAGCTTATTTTACAAAAGATCCTACTGTGTTATGTGGATTTTAATTTTCCAAATTTATTTTGGTTAGAACAAAGTTTGAAATTACTATATTGAACTATATAAAGTTTAAAAATTTAATCTTTAATGTAAAGCTTTTGGTGTAAGCTTAAAGAGGAGTGAAATATTTCTCAATTCAACTGTTTGATTTTACCTGGAATAACCTGTCCTGCTTTTTAAACATGACTCATGCATATTAGCTTTGATAGTCAAAACTGTCTTTACGAAAAAAAAATCATTTTTCTTTTGCAGAGCAGCTAGGGAAGTGTATATTGTCATTTCACTTATCTTTGTAGATACCAACTTATGACTAAATTGCTATAAATTTAAGTTTGATATTGCTAAGCAGATTTTTCTAAATTTGAACTTTTGAAAAGATGTTTTATCTCCCCAAAGTCGTGGAGTTGGATTAGCTCTGAATTTTCTGTCTATATAAGAAGTGTCAGAAATATTGTTTTAAAATTTATGCTGTAAATATATTAGTAAGTCTTTCTGCGCCCCTCCCCCATATTTTTATTAACACAGCTTTATGTGGCGCTGTGGCCCACCTGTCAGAGGGAAGGCGGTGCGGCCCGTGACAGGCGGGCGCCGTTCTAGGGACCCCAGCGTAGCTCCCCCGAGACACCTATCGGAAAATGGAAATGGAGAGAAAGCGGCTACAGAAAAAGAATGGATTTCATTGAGCTGAGTTTCACTTTCAGGCTGCTAACCTTCAGGGACGGTCCAGTGTCAAATCGCTCAAAGGCATAGTAGGTTTTAGGGGGAGACTCTCTTTTAGGCTGCAGAGAAATTTTGATTACACCCAGAAATGATACTCAAAATATTTAACAGATAGGCACAAGCATCAATTGTTGAGAGAGGATCTCAGTCAGCAATGTGCTAGATGCACGGTCCCAGAGAGATTTCAGGGTTGCCTGAGTGATGGGGGGCATCCCGAAGGGGCGGGGCGGCCAGGCAGAGGGGCGGGCGCCACAGCTGTTTACCAGGGTGACGGATATTTGTCCCCGTGCAGCCATCTTAATTAGAAAAGTGCACAAGGCTGAAGAGCGTGTGTGATGGCATGTGGCCAGCGGGTGTAGCGTGTCTGTGACTCTGCAGGTGTCTGTGCCCTTGCTTCTGGGGCCCCTCCTTCGAATTCCAGACGGGAGTCTCTGGCAAGTCCTTTTTCAATTAAGTAGCCACCTCCAGGTTAGTGAATTGTACGCTGTGGATTTGCTTAAAGACCCGCTTTTACTGGAATGAAATGTGTCAGCAGGGTGATGCCAATTTTCATGAAATCGTTTCTTTCCTTGTAAGTTAACAGTGTATCCAAAACATTCTTACAGGTTCCCAGATGGGAGGGCATCTAAGGGACTCGGCGAAAAGGTGAAGGGATTAAGAAGTACAAATCGGCTGTTAAAAATAGTGATGGGATGTAAAGTACAACACAGAGAACATAGTCAGTAATGTTATAATAACATGCCTGGTGCCAGATGGGAACTGACTTACGTACATGTCTAACCCCTATGCTAGTACAACGCAACTAATGTAATATTGAATGTCAAATGTAATTGAAAAAATTACAATTGCTTCCCTCGCTCTTTCATAAGCAGCTTGTTTATGAAACCTTTTTAGTTTTTTAAAATAGATCTCTCTGAATTCCTACTGTAATTGAGTAAATTAACACTGATACTGGTGCCATCCCGAAGGCTGTCATGTGCGCACAGCAGTACGGACACATGTGACGATGATAAGGACAACATTTTTATCTAGACCGTGCCTTTTTGTGGTTAAGTATCATTTTGCTCATATTCTCGGGTCCCACTGAATAAATGCTTGGTTTTCATTAAGCTGCAGGAAACCCAGCAGGAGATTCCCATCATCATTTGTGCTAAAGCAATCAAGAAAATTATTGATACAAATTATTGAACAAAAGAAGATGGGAAGATGAAGTAGGAAAAATATTATCTAATGTATGATTTTAATCCCGTAGAGTTGCTTTTTGTGACTGTTACTAAAATAATTAAAATTTTGTGGCACAAAAAGCATTCTGAAGGATTTTATCTGAAAGGATTTTTCAAAAATAACTTTAAGAGAAAGTGTTTTAAGACAGAGATCCAGATCTGATATGTACAATTGCATTGAACACCGTTTAGCTTTTATTCTTGTTCAAAGCGCCTCAGTGTCGAATAGGCCAAGGCCTGTGCATCTTCGCCTTCGCAGCTGCTCCTGGAGCCTTTGCGGTCCTGGGCAGCGGCTCACGCCCAGCGGGAGGGAGGAAGGGGTGCTGGGGCCGCGCGTGCCTTCCTCGCGTGGCCTCTTTGCGTGCACCTTTTTGTGCTTGTTACTCCTCCTGTCCTCCGGGGTTTACGTTGCTCTGGGTGACTTGTCAGCTTCTGCATCCACCTCTGCTGTCTCGTGTCACCCTTCAGATTTACTTGCCCGCTGCAGAGGGAGCGCAGGGCTGCCCAGCAGGGCTCGGAGGTGTAAACTGTTTTCAAAACACCAGCTCTGCACGCGTGCGCGTTGGGAAGGTGCGTCTTCACTGGCGCGTTTGGTGATTATTAAATGATGGCGGATATGGGATACGTCGCCTACATTTCACAGGGGCTCTTGTTGTGTCACTCGTCTTTCCGTACCACGCACTGGCATGGTCCCCAGCATGGTCCCCTGGCCGACCGTCCCCAGCTCCGCCCCCGCTCCCTGGCCTCGGCAGCCTCCGTCCCGGTGGCCTTGGCAGGCCGGCCGTCCTCCCCCAGCTCCGGCCCAGGCTCCGCCGGTTAACCGGAGGCAGAACGATGTGAAAACATGGAGTGAACGATAGCATTCGCTTATTTGCGTGCGATCTCCTCCGAAAGTTTAGGTGACACCGCGCCTGGCTGTTTATTTCAGTTCACAGCCGTTTCCGGCGGAGACTTCCTGCACTTTATTTTTGTGACTGTCTACTGTAATTTCAGGATTCCAGGGTCCGCGTCGTCGGAGGGCAGGCATGAAGTGACAGGGGAGGGGAAAGAACTTTGGTTTCGGGGTCCATGAAGTTTATTGAAATTTCTTACTTTTCAAATGGTACTTTTAATAATTACTTTTTGTTGAAAAGGCATTGCTTTTGTGTAGTGTCATGAGTATATTGAGTGGCTTATGTGAATATTCTATTTGGTAGAGTTCATTTTAAATTATAGCATCGACCATCCTTTCTGTCTTTGTTTTAGTTGTTTCTGAGAGAATTGTAGTGCCTGTTCTTCTTAACTTTGGCCTGTGCCCACTGGACTTTTGTCTCTTGTTAGAGTATTATACCTTGAAGCAAGAAAAACACCTAAAATTAAACCAACACTTACTTGTCTGCGGGAGGACAGGGCGGTGCCCGGGGAGACGGCCGAGGACATAGCCACAGAAAGCTGCCTGCGTGAAATTTATTTTATTTTAGTTTTGGCTCACCCAAGGACATTTTTTTTTTCATTGATTTTAGAGCAAGAGAGAGAAACAGAGAAACATCGATGTGAAAGAAACATTGATCAGTTTCCTTCTCCTATGTGCCCCCATTGGGGATCGAACCTGCAACCTGGGTGTGTGCCCTGACTGGAAATCAAGCCCATGCCTTTTTGGATCTATAGGATGACGTTCCAACCAACTGAGCCACACTGGCCAGGGCAGTGCTTAAAATTTACTATCTTACAAGGTCTTGA